AAACAGTTGCACCTCCATCTGTGATGCTCAGAATAAGTGAAGACATTATTAGACATTACATTAAAAAGGCCATAGATTTTAACGTTCACAAAATGAAGTACATCATGTGTATTTGTACTATTTCCTGTTTAAAATGCCTGCCAACATGTGTAATTCAGTTTATCTTACCACATAGAGAAAACATACCCCATACAACATTGTGGTTATAGGTACAACAGCTATTGTTGGTTTGGTGGACGAGCCAGATTTAATTCACAAAATGAAGTACATCATGTGTATTTGTACTATTTCCTGTTTAAAATGCCTCCCAACATGTGTAATTCAGTTTATCTTACCACATAGAGAAAACATACCCCATACAACATTGTGGTTATAGGTACAACAGCTATTGTTGGTTTGGTGGACGAGCCAGATTTAATTCACAAAATGAAGTACATCATGTGTATTTGTACTATTTCCTGTTTAAAATGCCTGCCAACATGTGTAATTCAGTTTATCTTACCACATAGAGAAAACATACCCCATACAACATTGTGGTTATAGGTACAACAGCTATTGTTGGTTGGTGGACGAGCCAGATTTAATTCACAAAATGAAGTACATCATGTGTATTTGTACTATTTCCTGTTTAAAATGGCTGCCAACACCGCCAGTTGTAATCGTAGTTTTGTCTGTTTGTCTTACCACATAGAGAAAACATACTTCATACAACATTGTGGTTATAGGTACAACAAGGCAAATGGCTGAGGATCTATTGCAATGCTGTATAGGGAACAAAATAGCTTCCTCCCGTGTAGGTGAAGGTCGGCCTGGGTCCTCCCTGGCTCTTCCAGTTGCTGTTAGTATTTCAGTCTTCATTGCTGTTCTCACTGTAATTGTAATAATGTTCATTTTGCTAAGGTAATGTACAGTAGGAAGTAATGATAGTAAGAGTTTAATTATTTTTCCTCTAATGCTAGGAAGAAGTACTCATTCAAAGAGGGCAACTTGTCTATAGCAAGAAAGAGCTATCCAACAGGCAGTGTAGGGGAGGGCAGTATTGGGGAGGGAGAAGAGGGAAAGACTGAAGAGATTGAAATGGAAGGTCCTCTCGTGAATGTGGTGGTGGATGATGAAACATGTGAGGAGGATGGAGTCCCAAACCAGATGCAGGAGGAAACTGAAGATTACTTTCAAGATCCTACATCCATATTATGTAATAATATTGGTAGCCAATACATTTACACAGGAAAAGGACACACCCCACTCTCTTCACTTTCCCTAGTGCCAGACATTGACCCAATACCAACTGAGAGGTTCCCAGAGTATGTGAGGGACATGCTGTATGGAGAGGAACATAAACTGAAAGCAGAGTTCTCGGTAAGATCTCCTTATATGGTTTTCCCTCCCCGTGATTGAGGAATGTGTTGTGTATACTGATGTAGGCAACTGAAAGAGCATTTGAAAAACAGTGCAAATGCATGTTATGCATGTTTTTCCCCCCAACACTGTGGGGGAGTGTGATGATAGCACCAGTTCTGTAAACATACACAGGCCCTGGGGAAACTACCTCAACCACCCTCCACTGTGGCTGTCCTACCACACAACAAGGCACACAACAGATTCAAAAACATCTATCCTTGTGAGCTGCCGTGCTTGATACACATATTAATCAGGTATCTATTGCTATTATACACCTTATGTAACATTATGCAGACGACAGGTCTCGCGTGTGTCTCAAGGCGACCCCTGGAGTGGACAGCTGTGACTATATCAATGCCTCTTTCATTGATGTGAGACTATAAATACACATAACTTCACAATTAATGTCGTGTGTATATTTTGATTCTATCACAGGGGTATGGAGGGATGAAAAATGCCTATATCGCAGCACAAGGTCATACATACAACTGAACATACATAAAATGCACTATTAGCAGTAAACATGGTGTACTTATCCTATACCACAACAGGGCCAGTGGATGTGTCTGTGGAGAGTTTCTGGAGGATGGTCTGGGAGTATGAGACACCAACAATACTCATGCTCACCCAGTGCACCGAGGCTGGGAAGGTATGGCATACAATACAGTGGAACCTCTGATAAGGGACCCTCCGAGATAAGGACAACCTCTCTACAAGTGACACAATCGTTTGCCCCAAAAGTGTCCCCCTGTTCTGAGGTTCCACTGTAATGCATGAAGATAGTTGTGATGTTGTTATTGACCGACATCATGACTGACTGATGCACACACAGTACTAATCCTCAGGTCAAGTGTGTGCAGTACTGGCCAGAGAAGCTACATGACTCCCTCAGTGTGGGGGAAAAGTTCCGTGTCACCTTCTCTTCCAACATGCCGTTTGCCGAGTACGAATTCAGGAAATTCAAACTTGAAAACGTAAGTCCTCTTTCACCGTTTTTTATTTCACCCTCTTTGTGTGTACATGTCTAGTTGTCAGAGTCAGAGAGTAAGCACATGACAGTGAGTCATCTCCACTACACGGCCTGGCCTGATCACGGAGTGCCCGACAACGTCATGTCTCTCATTGCCTTCATCCGTCACGTCCGTAAACTCCACCCCGTCTCCCACCAGCAGCCACTGCTGGTCCACTGCAGTGCGGGGGTGGGGCGTACGGGGACACTCATCCTCCTGGACATCATCATGCAGCAGATGAAGACAGAGGGCACTATCAGTGTTCTCCACTGGCTGAGGAACTTACGCATGCAGAGAATGAAGATGGTCCAGAGCCAGGTCAGAGAAATGGGGTGGACCCTTTCATTAACTTCTAACAAGCAACATGGGATGGGAGCTATAAGTACACAAGGGAAGAGTTACTGCGTGGATTTAGTGCACACAGTGTTTAAATATGTGAATGCTGACACTCTTGTAATACAGCAACAGTATGAGTTCATTCACTGTGGTCTGAGTGAGCTGGTGGTGTGTGGGGAGACAGAGGTGGCTGCAGCCAACCTCAGAATTGCCCTCAAAAACCTGAAGAAAAAGGGACCAGATGGATTGACTGGCTTCCAGAGACAGATGCAGGTTTTTGAATGTCCATATGTGTCACCCTACATCACACGCAGTTTATATGCCAATGATTTGAAGATAATTGAGGAGGTGAGTTCTCACCATCCAGTTACCTTCAGTGATGCAGAGGAGGAGTACAACAGGATAAGAACAGATTCCCTGACAAACTACCCAGTGAGTGTATGTTGTTGACTTTGTGTGTGCAACATAAGTGGTTTGGCTTGTTGATACACAAACATGCCCAGTCAAACATGTGAACATGTAAGTATGTGTGTGTGTGTTGTATTGACATAGATGATACTTATCGTGTGAGACTGAGATGTGGACCCATGCCAGGTTCAGACTACATCAATGCCTCCTTTGTCAACGTGAGAATAATGCAGCCACTTATTCCACTCCATGACACATGTGCTTATCTGGTGTCAGGGCTACAAGCAGAAAGGTGCCTACATAGCTACCCAGTGTCCACTGGAGAACACAGTGGCTGACTTCTGGAGGATGGTCAACGAGTTCCAGTGTGGCTGTGTAGTCATGCTCCAGGAAGAGGGAGAGGTGATTTACTTCATTCCCTCTGCCCCCTTAACCAGGTGTGCACATTACACTGTAGGAGAGTAGCTGCTGTTTCTGGCCAGAGGAGGAAGGGGAGTCTGTGGTGCACGGGAAACTGTCCGTCAAACTGGTGTCAGTCAAGACTCACGGAGACATTGTCACTAGGAAGCTGGAGATGGTGGAGGGAGCAGCTCGACTCAATAGACCTCACATGGTCCACCTGCTCCAGCTTACAAGCTGGCAATTGCAGGGTCTTCCCCACCCCATGGCAATCCTGTCTCTCATCGACCAGCTCACCAGTACCCAGATGAGGTGTGGGAACAGACGAACGGTCATCATGTGCAGGTATATATGGAGAGGAAGTGTGTGTGAGTGGACTAGTGTGTCCTCTGCAGTGATGGGGTGAGTCGAACAGGAACCTTCCTCACCATCCACTGCCAGTTGGAGAGACTCAAGACAGAGGGTCTGGTGGACTTTCTCCAGACCATCAAGTCCGCTCGTCTTCACAGACCTGGACTCGTCAACAACACTGTGAGTTTGCTCATTTTTACGGTGACCTCAGATGTGCTTTGCTACCTAGACCGCAGAGTTTCGTGGGTTCGAATCCCACCCAGGGCAGTTTTTCTCCTTGGAAAAAGAGCTCTCCTGGGTGTAGTTGACTTGTTTGTTTTTGCCTTTGCCTTTCTACACCATTTTTTACAAGTGCAGAGTCACTGCATGAAGCAGAGTTAGCATTTAGTTACCTGCTGCTAGTAAAGAAATGTGTGCCATCTTATTCTCTCTACATAATAGGATCACTATGTGTTCTGTCACGAAGTCGTCAATATGTACTTGGACAACTTTGACACTTACGCTAATTTTTAGTTCAGGAAGTCATTCGAATTTTTGTTGTGTGAATGATTGTAGGTATTATGGTGGAGTATCCACTCATAGCTCTAATGCTTTTTGTATTTATACTACTACACAACATATGGAATTTGTTCTCTTGTGGCCAATTAAGTAAGCAGTTCTTGCACATGCACACCGAGGGTTTCATGATGAATTTATCAGGCCACCTTCGGCCACCAAAATTCACTGCCTGGCTAGTTGCCCAATTAAAGGTATGCTTTACCGTCACCATGGAGCTGCATGCCATTGGTGGTAGCTGGTTAATGGGCTGTAGTCGATTGAGATGCTTGGCTACCACAACATATGGGATCTGTACTCTTCTGGTGGCAAGTTTGGTGCTTCATTGTTGGCTTCCCACCTCAAAACTCGTGTATCCCAAAAACTGTAGCACTTCGTATCAGGTTCTCATGGGCTATTCACAGCCATGCGAACCCTAGTACTGGTCCCTGTAGTAGTACTGTTAGTCTACTGCTCAGTAGTCTGTGCCACTCTTGAAGATGATGAAGTCGTGACTGCTAGTGTGTTCAGGAGGGAGTTGAATAGGGCTAGACGTGCTATACTAGGAACGATTTTCAAGTTATTTAATCCCGGCTACACTGCTAGTCACCCAGCCTCCTCCTGCAAAGAGATCCTCCAGCAGGCCCCACAGTCTCTCTCGGGTCTCTACTGGCTCGGGGGAACCAACAACAGACCCAGACAAATGTACTGCGACATGGAGAGGAGCTGCAAAGGTGTGGCTGGAGGCTGGATGAGGGTGGCCTCTATCGACATGAACGACACTGGCAGTACCTGTCCATCTGGTCTGAGGACCCTCACCTGTCCTCGCAGACTGTGTCGCAAATCCATTGATGGTCAGGGATGCTCCTCGGTCGTGTTCCCAGTGCAGGGAATAGAGTACTCCCAAGTGTGCGGCAAGATAATCGGGGGTACCAGTTTAGCAGTACAGACGCTTTTATTCGATTCCCAAGTATCTTAGTACTTAACAACATTGAGTCATTTATGTTGATGGTATCAGTCTGACTCACGGAACAAGTCCCCGTGAGCACATTTGGACATTTGCTTCAGCAGGAAATGAATACACTGATGAAGAATCAAAGTATGCCTGCCCCTGTATTAACTATCAATACACTCCGCCTTCTCCAGTACCTGAAGTTGTAGGAAACGACTACTTCTGTGACACTGGCAGTGAGGGCACATTCGTGCCCGACTTTTTCTATGGAGATGATCCTCTCTGGGATGGTGCTGGATGTGGTATGCTGAACACATGCTGTGACTGGAACTCTCCGCCATGGTTCAGGAAAGATATCTCGCCTCCAACCAGTGATGACATTGAAATGAGGGCTTGTGCCGATGAAACTAATGAAGATGTTTACATTGAATCACTAGAGATATGTTCAGTGATTCACTGTTTCAAACTTTGGAACTTAGTTAGGACTCACACTAACTCTACACTCACACAAACCTTTTGTAAACTTAGTATTGCTGTGGTAAGGAGCAATCGAAAGATTGCGCAAGTGCGAGTAATAGGGAGTAGCATTGAGTGAACTCTTTTACGCATACAGCCACCTTCTATGCACGGATGCATATCAACTGGTGCCTGCTATAATAGTGCATGCTTATACCATTGTGATCATGAGGGTGGTGTTTTAAAACAATGTTGAAACCAGCAGTTCTTTTGACCTTTCCACCTAAGCACATGCAATCTAAAAAATTGTGGTATAAGTAGCAAACACAGATGATGTTATCTCTTTGCTCAGCGAACAAAGCAATTCATGAATGCAAGTTGATAGCTATTACTGTTGTAGCTGGATAAGGAGCTCATGAAGGGGTGAAGGCTCGAAGGAGAGTCTAACAACAACATGCGCTGTACATACAATCATGCTTTAGATATGGGTACGCTACAATATACTGTGCCCTCATGAGTTCCCTACTATAGTGCTTCCAACAATTTGATGTGTCTAGCCTGTACAATGAAACAAAAGCACGAAAGCCTGTCTGGATGTCATAGAAGATGCTGATACTAAAGTGCAAACCCTCGGCACACTGCGCATGCGCGGGTACCGGGCTTGAGGTCTGGACGCGACGACACGGGCTAGCTACACACTATAGCATGCGGGAGGTCCCTTCGTTGTGCCTTCTTCTGCCTCCAAGGTATATACCCAGTCCAGAGCGAGCGGAGTGCGATTATGCATTGTTGGCTTCCCTTGTTTTCACGGCGTATCTCTCTAACGCAGTCGTTTTTGTGTCTCGGACCAGACTAGACGCAAGCTGTATCTAATGCACTATGTACCCTTCCCTTATCCATCCCACAAAGCAGTAAGCGGTCATGAGACTAGTATAATACTAGTTGAATGCTAAGCATTTTTGGCGAGCGGGAGCGACCCAACTGCAGATCAGGCAATTGGTTTGTGCAGAGAAGGTATGCTGACGTACAATGGTTTTCATATTTCACATGAACTGAAACATGCGCAACAGTTGTACTCAAGTCATTCCCATTGTTTTGTATTTGATAGGGCCTAGTATATACTAGTCCCGGTGGTCAGATAAGCAATCATATTGGTTTGCTGTTTACATAGCGATAGTTAAACCCATGACACTCGCTCTGCAGTCTTGGCAAAGCCTTCTCAAACCAGCCTCATGTCAGGAATTGGGGATTCAAAATTCAACACACGGCAAACCTGAACGAACTGTGCTATGGCACATTATACTCTCAGAGAAGACACAGGGGTAATTCAACCACCACAGGCCAGACTCCACAATAACCAACAATGCAAGAGTATAGAAATTATAACCGTTGACCACACATCCAGCAAACTGGGTAGAGACACACATGAAATTATGCTGGTGCCTATTTATTACAACTACAGTACCCGCAGTTCCCTGGAGACTGGGGACTCAGGCCTGATCAGCCTAGATAGTGTGGACACTCCCACTAACTACTATAGCCTTGGACATTCCAACAGCACTCCCACATCTAGGTCTTATTGAGCCCTTTGACCTAAACCTAACTCCCAGCATCACTAACCTTTATTGGCCAAGGGTCTTCAGTTATCATTACTTCAAAACTTTTTCGTGTGCCTAAGGATCTAGTCATGACTAATAGCTTCTTCAGCATACATACTTCCTTTCGTTCTGCCATTTGAGCTTAGCGTAGCTAGTAGCTATCCCTCATGCCTTTAGCTTTAGCGATCCCAAATGTAGGAAATCCCTGTTGCTCTTCATAATACAAAGCCTTGAGTATAATCATCATGAGATCCTTTATTTATCACCTCGTATAATATGCCCTATAATTATACAAGATTGTATGGCAGGAGCTTCTGAGTTTTGTTACAAACTCTTTCCAAACTAAACCTGAAAACGGAAATAGAAATTGGTGCATGCAAAACTGTTATTTAGCCATACACCGCACCTGACACTCATGGCTAGCCTGTGTAAAATAATACTAAGGCTAGGTCAGGATCGTGGCTGTATAATATAGGAAGTTACAGCTCTTTTGTTACCAACATACCGATCTTGGGAAGATTTCACTGATGGATCCTGGGGAAACCTGAAAATAATTATATAAGTCTGATATTTTCCAGCAAGAGATATCGGTACTTACTGGTGGTATAGACTGGGTGGGTACATGATAGACAGACTCCCCATCTAGCTCCAGTGAAATTACACTGAACTCATTAAAGACGATGGGATCCTTTACGCTTATTCAGTAACACGGTGACAGAGGCTGGTAGGGTTGCAAACCAAGTAACTTCGAAGCACCTCCTTCTTATTCTGTACACCATCATTGCAGTCTTTGGTAGCCCAAATGTACTCAAAAAACGCTGCCGAAATTCTTCCACATCTTTGAGAGTGATGCTCTCTGGCCACTGGTGCTCTGTCACTATCTTCTGAAACCCTGGTGGAGGGTCAGCCTCAACGAGAGGATCGGAGCTCAACATGTCAGTCCGAACCTGACAAAACAGTGCCAACATTGTGAGCTCCTTGAACATCTGCATGTCTTCCCTGTACCTATCTATGACTTCTCTGATTCTTATAAAATCAGCGTTCTCTTCAATCAGCTCATCAAGAAGTCCGTCCAGTAGACCAAATGAGAGGTAGTTCCAGTAGAGATTCAGTTCTCCAAACAGTTCCCAGTGGTCTTGAGAATTGCGAAGAACTTTGTGATTTTCTCTAAGATATTGTTTGTGTTCGCCCACTGCCAGAATCGATGTCAAGAGATAGACCACAGTCACTATGGTAACTCGACATTGAATTGTTGAAACTTTCATGGAATTAAATCTTCGATGAAAACTCTTTATCTCCTTCCGAAGTGCTACAACTGCCGAGTTGTCTGAGGCATGCAATGTGGATGATAGAGAAGCAGAAAAAAACAGTGGCCACTTACCTTTGCTCGCTAGAGAGGATGAAGGCTTTGACTTGACTTGACAATCACCAGCAGCAGTTTTGGCTAAGGACTCTGTGTCTCCTGGCAGGGAATGGCAGAAACAGGACTATGGCCAAGGGATGAAAGAAACTGCGATGTCACCTACCTGTAGATAGCTGCAGCTCACATGTTGACGTGGAGTCAGGGATATGAGCAACTTCAATTCTCCTAGCTAATGCTGACAGGCCAACTACCGATTCCTGAGAGCTTCTATGATCACCCTCCACGTACTGGGCTCGGCTTGCTTCAGGAACGCGACATAAAACAGGCAATCTCGAGGCTTGGAATACCTGGAGTGAATAGCCTCAATTTCATGATGCTGCAATTTCAGCTTCATTCCCAGCAAAAAAGACTGGTTTTGTGCTTCCAATACTTCCTCCAAATACTTCCTCCATTATGTCCGCGGCAGGCATCATCTGGTGCCAGCGTCACATCTAAAAGTAGCTAGCTACCTACGATTCTTTGTTTACTACGTCCTTACCTTCTGCCATCTCCGAGGTAAAACGTAAACAATCAGCAGCCGAAAAACTAACCAGGGACCGCTCGCTCCTGCGATAAAAGTGTTCAGGCCTTCGCGCCAAACTACGAGCGCGGTGCGCGCGCCATAGGCGCGCATGCGCAGCGAGGGTTAGCGTCTTTACTACATGCAACATGGAACCTCCTTTTAAGGTTTCACTATACAACCAAAAATGGTGTGCAACACTATACACTAACTTACTCTTACCACTACAAAGGTCCTAGTATAAATGCCCTCGGCGCATTGTGACGCGCACGTGTAAGTAAACGCATGCGCCGTACCACTAATTCATGGGCTGGGTGTAGTTTTAGCTGTTACTCGTGGTCTCTTGCCAGCTCGCGCAGAGTCTGACGCGGGCTAACTACACTACTAGATAGCATGCGAGGGGCGATACACGCCCTGCGTTGCATCTTCTGGTGCCTCCGAGGTACGCAGAGCACGCGGATCGATCAGACCGCGGTAAGCCATCCCGTCCGTGCATATTGGCTTTTTCGCGCTCTAGCTTTGCAACGGAGCAGTTTCAGAGAAAACCGTTCGAAAATTCTGACCTTCATTGCCCGTTAAGTAGGTCGTATCCTTTGTGAGACGAACAAACAGCCGAGAAGTGAGATGAAGAGTAACAGACGCACACAGACAGACCCACCCTCGCTGCGCATGCGCGCCGAGGGTAGTGAAACGTTGTTTTGTGGCGCGCGAGCGGGAGCGACCCAAGCCCGCGATGTTCGGGCTGCATAACGTGCCGTCAGCGCACAGCTTTCCTTTCGCGAAGCAAGACAGATCTACCTGACGCCGTTACATTCGTACTGTACATTGGCAGAACGGTGAGCAGGTGAGCAGAACGGTAACTTACGCTACACCAATATACTAGTAGGCGAATGCATGGCATTTTTGGCGAGCGGGAGCGAGCACACAATGACAGTATCTGCATTAGCCATCATAGCCTATTTACAACTTGAACCTTAGAACCACGAAGATTGGAAAGAGGTATATACAGCTTCGGTCAGGTATCGAAGAGTGCAGCGGATAGATAGATTTCGCCTCGATATGACAGCTAGGCAGCGTGTAATAAAGAATAAGCGCGTTCCCCGTATATATCACGCAAGCGACGCTGATACAGACGAGCCTCTCTCTGCTCAGAAGTCTCACGGGCACCGATGTTCTCTTGACCTCTCTCTTCGACGACGAAGCAAGACAGATCTACCTGACGCCGTTACATTCGTACTGTACAGTGGCAAAACGGTGAGCAGGTGAGCAGAACGGTAACTTACTTACCTTACGCGTCAGTCGTGGTCCACCAGGCAGCTGGCATGCAGCAGTATGTGCACGAGCAATCCTATCGTATTTGCAAGTTGCACCTAGGAACCATGAAGATTGGGAAGAGGTGCAGCCTTGGTCAGTCACCGAAGGTTGCAGCGCATGCCGTCTAATGGAGGGGAGTTCTCTAGCTGGCCTAGATCGATCGGCGCATATCGCACCGTGTGAGAAAAATGTGTAAAAATTTTGGAAATTAGAAGCACGTACAAAACCGCGCATGCGCACTTACCCGACGCACTTAGCTTACACGACTTACACATCGGCCCGTTGCGACGACTAGGTTGGCTCGCCTCCCGTTCGCCAATTATGTGAAATATTGATGCATGATTGAAATGGATGCTCGATTAAGCAAGCAACATTTACACTCTCTGTGGAGGGGAGATTGCTGGCTCACTAAATATCGAGGGATCACATTATGCAACCTCTTACGCACTCCCAATCTTCTCTAGAGTGGAAAAGGCCTGGTAACCACACCCACACACTTACATACATACACCCTGAAACTTTAACATAGCTAACAGTTTACTGTGCCATAGCACAGTGGTTGGAGGTTTGCCTTGTGTTGTAGATTCGAACCCCTACCAGCTGAGTTGCCCTGGTAGCTCAGTTGGTAGAGCGCTCGCCTAGACTGCAGAGTGTCGTGGGTTCGAATCCCACCTAGGGCATCTCTTTATTTTTCCTTGGAAAAAAAGAGCTGTCCCAGGTGTAGTTGATTTGTTTGTTGTGCCTTTGCCTTTCTACCTCATAGTTTTCACCTTGTTATCAATTTGACTTTGATTTCAACACCCTAAAATGGTGTTATCCGTGAAGAGCTTTATCTTTCACTCCCAGGAGCCTGCCTCCTTCGTGTGCCACGGTCGACCACTCAGCACACGTCCTAGTCCAAATCACAGACTCTAGCGGTAGGCCTCATCAGCAAGAGCAGAAAATATCTGCACATTTGGAGCTTGTTTCAAACCCTGACTCCAACAGTCAACCCAGAGTAACAAGTTTACCGGTTATCATGGTGTCTCTTTCTGAATATGAAGTGTCGTACATGCCTGTCAGTCGAGGCAAACACACACTCAGTATTCTGGTGAATGGCTGTCATATCAATGGCAGTCCCTTTACTGTCACTGCGTACCCTAACCCTAGACACCTAGGAGAACCAGTGAACTATTTGCCTAATTTGAGTGGACCGTTTGGTATTGCTTTTAACAAACGCAATGAAGTGATTGTTAGTGAACTTGAAGGTCAACGATTGTCCGTCTTTGACAACAAAAGACAAAAGATACGAACAATTCCACTGTATAAAGATAGTCCACACCTGACAATTTTTCCCAAAGGTGTAACAACTGATGATGCTAACAACATTTACGTGACCAGTGAGCACAAGCTGCAGAAGTATGATAGTAATGGTAAACTGATCAAATGTATCGGAGCGGAGGGCACAAAGGAGGGGGAGTTCAATTCTCTACGTGGGATTACGTTGCACAAAAACCAAGTGTACGTCTGTGATCGCAATAACGATCGTCTTCAGGTATTTGACCTAGACTTGAACTTTGTTCGAACCATTGGCTCACTTCCTATGGACAAATGTGAATTCAAAGAACCAATTGATGTAAAGTTTGATACGGGAGGAAATATGTATGTAACTGAGATCGGTAACAGAAAAGTGCAAGTAAGGGATGCAAGCGGACATTTCATACGGGAATTTGGTCAAGAGGGCGAACAAAAACTACTCAGGCCATCAGGTCTTAAAGTTGCTGACAAATAATATGTCTATGTGTCTGATTATCACAGTCATTGTGTTTGTGTGTATACGACATCAGGTCAATTTGTGACATCATTTGGGAACAGGGAGGGAGAGTTTCTATGTATCGCCTCTTGTGCTGATGGTTTTATACATGTGTGTGACATGTTCAGCAATAGAGTTCAGATATTCTGAAGAGTGTTTTCATCCTCATAATAGTGTATACAATTTTACAGAGAAACAAATAGTACGTTATGCTAGCTATGATGACAGACACCTAGAAGCGGGCTGCATGAGCAATCACCACAGATAATTTTTAGGTTCGCCCGGCCCCGGCCGGCCCCTGCTCCCTTCATAGCGCGCATGCGCACGCGGAGGACACCAGCGCGCGCCGCCGATTGGGGGGCACGTCCGCGACTATAAAATGGTCCGAGAGAGCCTGTAAGACAGTCCTGCAAGACAGTCATACCCTGAGATTGTTTGTTACAACAGATATCAATCAATGCATCATCATTCGTCACGTATTGCAGCGTTCGCTGTCGTGGCATTCTTAGCGTCGCTAGTTCACTGCCAGACGTACCCTCGTCTGGAGCACCGGAGCCAGGACGAAGTAACGCGCGTCCTGCAAAATAACTCTTTCATCGACCGTTCATTTATTGACGAAAACGGTGACGATGGAGTCCTGAAATGTGTGACTGACAATCCAACATGTTGCTCTGGGAATTGGTTTGATAGCAGTGGAGAAATCATACCTCCACGAGACATCAATGCTAACCTTTCCTTTTACACTACTGAGAGATTAGTGGACGGCCGCAGTGTGCACAGTCTCAAGTATAGAAGTGGTGGAAGTACATTAGTTGGAGTGTTTCGATGCGATATACCAAATCTCTTTGGAGACGTGGAGAGTCTTTTTGTGTACATAGGCTCCAACACAATCGGTAAACTTATCTTGTATTTTGTTGAAATGCTGCAAAACTAAATCTTTGTTCAGGTGAAGGTACTCTGCGAACGATTCAAATTTCCTATGCGAAACATCCTCTATACCAGGAAGACTATCAGGTTCCTAACTTCATTCTGTCGTGTGTCAGTGAGGGAGGGCCGGTGAGCAGAGTCCAGTGGTGGAGAGACAGAGTCCCAGTCCAGGAGGACGGGAACCACGTGGTCTCCCAGATCATCCTGGACACCTCTCAGAATGCAGTCTATGACAGCAGACTGACAGTGTGGGGAAGAGAGGGAGGAGAGTATAGGTGTCGGGTCTCAAACAACATCCCAGACTACTACCCCAGGCTGACGTATCTCTCTCACAATTCATCTTACATCACTATTGACGGTAAGAAAACACCTAGTTTCTACTTCTTCACCCACAGAATTGCTTTTTAGTTGCTGAAAGGCCTAGAAATTTGGAACACGTCAGAGCTTCACCGACAAGTTTCATTGTCTACTGGGTTCCTCCGAGGACAACTCCCTTGGCCTACGTCATCTTCTATAACCTCACTGCAGACGTGTACAGCGTGACTGTGAATGCCTCCAGGACAAGTACGACTCAGAGCTACGAGTTGGGAGGACTCAGTGAGGGCATGAACTACAGTATCTCAATGGTGGCTCTCTCTCGACACTTGCCAAGTCCCGTGGTGGGATCTCCTATCATGTCTGGTGAGCCATCAAAAAGATTGGCTGCAGCTTGGGCACTGTTTTTGTGAAATGGTGCTTAGCTGCATATTGCACAAGACACTGTCCACCAAAATTTGGCAGTAGGGGGATTTAAGAATTTGGCATTGATTCATCTCACAAATTGTTGGCAGGCTGAGGCTTAGCCGAGAGCCAAGTGCATAAAGAGTTGTGATTCCGTCACAAAAATGTAACGGTCGTATAATGGGGCTGGATCCTGGTGTTGCCTTAGCCATACATGGAACAGCTTTTGACAACTTATGAAATTTGTTCCTATGAGCTAATCCCTCAAATATTCCTACACAGTGGCAGACTTTACTCCGTTGGTAACTGTCACAACAAGTCCTGGGGATCCAGTGGCCGGGACGTCGTACGTCCTCACCTGCACAGTGACAATTATACCAGGAATCTCCCTCGTTCCAGTCATTGAGTGGAGTGGCTACGGGATAGGCATGCAGTGGGTCACCACTGGTCGGACCGTCAGTGGAGATGACTCCCACACCCGCCAGGTGACCTTCAGACCACTGGTCCTGGCTCACGGAGGAGCATACACCTGTACTGCCAGGTTCACTCTGAATGAAGTCACCTCCAGAGACGGAGTCGACCAAACTCTACTCTCTGTCATAAGTCAGTAACCTATACGACAAACTAACTGTAGAAAATGGTTGAATATCTATCTTTCAGTTCCACCACCATCGATGTCAGTCAGGATTGCTAGGAACACCATACCATACGTGGGGAACAACGTAACCCTGGAGTGTTTGGTTCAACTGGACTCAGCAGTTAGCGACAGTGAGGTTGAGATGGAGGTGAGGTGGGTAAAAGTTGGCCGCAGGACAGCTATACCGTCTCTGGAGGCAGCCATTCCTCCTGACAGGATGCGCAGTACAATATTCTTAACCAACCTCCTGGAGACAGACTCTGGTTCATATCAATGTGAGACCACTCTGACTCCACTAGACGCAAGGGTCAACTCGTCTCCCCTCAACACACCCAAGGTCTACAATCTAACAGCAATTGGTAATCCTATTTCTCAACCCATTGTACACAAACTTATGGATACCTGCTCCTCTCCTAGTTCCATCGCTAATAATAGAGACATCGCCATCTGTTGTACGTATCCTTGATGTTTCCTCCGCACAACCAGTTCACACTCTCCTGTACCGTCTGGGCCGAAGCGTACGGAGAGAAAATACCTCTACCACTGACCATTGAATGGATCAAGAGAGTCGAGTCGGGTTCTAATGTCAGGTTCTCTCCAGTGGCCTCAGCAGAAGGCCCTCATCTGAGTCCAAACCCAGCCGATGGCTACCACAGTATTCTGAGAGGCAGCGAGACCAGCTCAGTTGGCTCCACCTCTTATCGCTGTCGGGCCTCCTTTGTACGTGATGCTGGGGGAGCTACTGAGCTTGAAACTAGCAATTCTCTTGTGGCAGTTGTGGGTAAGTAGCCATACACAGCGAGGCAGTATAGAGTATAAGATCACTAATGTTTTTGCTGGTGCAGGGCCAACATCTCCAGTGGTCCCAGTGTCAGTGAGAACCACAGCCAGTGACAACAGTAGTCTGACCATCCAGTGGGAGATAACCTCAGTTTCCTACACTCCAGAGACGTACCATGTGGAGTACGGCACTGACAGTATAGAGTTGGGATTCCACATCTCAGAACAGGAGAGTGGACCTGATATTAGGATTGTTGACCAGGTGTATTCTCAGGACCTGATTGGTCTCCAGCCACTGGCCACCTACTACTATCGTGTGGTAGCCAGTAACACTGCCGGAACCACTGCAAGTATTGTGAGAGCTGCCAGGACCATGGACTGTGAGCTGAGTTAACTACAAGAGTGCGTTTTTACGCTCTTGCATGGAGTGATCCTAAGAGCTTTAAAATCACAGCCTGTGTTATGGAATGTTAGCAGAGTTACAAAATGTATTGTGTTGTTTCCATTGACTGAACTTCAACCAAATTTTCTCCCCTGCTCTTCTGTCTGTATTTCCAGTGTTGAGGATAGAGGGATCGGGATACCCACGGGTAGGGGAGAGGTACTCACTGGAGTGTGTCGTATCAGCTCAGTCTGGGAGTGGAGACTACACCAGTCTGACTTGGACCGACAGTCGTGGTGAGGTCCTGGCATCTGACACCGGTGGCTCTCTCTCCAGTCTGGAGCTGGTGTTTGAGTCTCTCGACCTCTCAAACGTCGGCAACTACACCTGCACTGTCACTTTTCCTACTGGTGACTCAAGACAATTGACTGAGCAAGTTTTTGCCGCAGGTAGCTATGGATAAATCATACTGTACTCTTAAATCATGTCACTTTGCTTCAGTGCCATCCTCACATGTCGTACTTGAAGAAGTGGACCAACCACGTGACGGGATACTCTATTCTGGTCTCAACCATACCCTGAAATGCCATACGAATGCCTCTGTTTTCAGTGCACCGTTTGTCACTGTCTCCATTCAGTGGCTCAGAGATGGACACAGCCTCAAGAACTGTTCTGACCTCGTAAAAGAGTCTGAGACACACTACCACTTTCTCCTCACCCTAACACACCTCAGCCACTCGTCAGACAATGGAAGTTACTCTTGTAGAGCAGTCACGACTCCCACAGCAAACTACCCACTGCTGAGAGCCACATCCGTCACTTCTAACACCCTGGATCTTCGCGTTGCCAGTAAATTCATTTGTTAAGACTGCCATCCTTTCTCTCTTCTTTGATTCTTCTCTTCCTCCCTCCATTCCTTACCTCCTTTCTTTCTCGCTTATTCCCCAATCCGTTCTTTCTTCCCGCCTATTCTTTCTCCTCCCCTCTCTTATTTCTCATCTCGTCTTAACCGACTCTGTCTTCCTCAGTTCCAGTTGTGAGTGTCACGATCTCGAGCTCTACTACTCGGGTGTTGGATGTTCCTCCGTACAATCAGTTTGAGTGCTCGTGCTCAGCCTCGGTGAGTGTCCCTGGACTGGGAGGAGAGCAGAGACTGGCGAGACGCTGGCAGTGGATGAGAAAGGGAGTCGGAGAAGAAGAGTTCAGCAGTGTTCCGCATTTCACGGTTAACTCTTCGTGGAGCTCAGTGCTGCACAGTGAGACGAGAAGTGGCACTGTGGCGTATCAGTGTGTGTACAGTTTGGAAGGAGTGGACCAAATCTCTGCTAGTGACCAGATCACTACGTCTGTCATTGGTGGGTGAACCCTACAATACAACTAGCGAAATGAATAAAATCTTCCTCCCACATCAGGTGCCAGAGAGCCCAGTACACCTGTGGGAGTGGCAGTATCACAGATAACCTCCAGTGGATTCGTGGTACAGTGGACGGTGGCATCGGTAGCCTACACTCCAGAGACATATGTGGTGGAGTATAGTACAACCAGTGACTTTTTAAACCCGGCAGCAGAGTCTGTGGCCAGTGGTGATGACATCGGGATTGTTGACAAGACGTACAGTGTTGAACTGAAGGGACTGGCGCCAGGAACTAAGTACCATTTCGTCGTCGTAGCAATAAACTCGGCCAGGATAACCAGAACCGAACCTTTGTTTATCTACACCAAAGAAACAGGTAAGATTTTCGAGTAAAAACTTTGTGGCGCATGAAGAGCATTTTAAAACTTTGTCTAGTCCCAGGAAAAGTGTCGTTTGTGAGTGCGTCGAGAGTGAATGACTCCAGTCTCAACATTAGCTGGGGAGCAATCGAGGCGGCAAATGGAAACCTCACCCACTACCTGGTGTGGGTCAACTCCACCTCAGACGGCCACCGGAGACTCGTGGACATCTCCCGCCTCGTCGTTTGATTGTGTCTGGACTGAGTAAGTCCCTGTTCATATATAGGAGTAAACACGTCCAAGGTCAATCAATATTGGTTAAGTGTGACTTGTGATAACAAAACAAATGTCACCCTATAACGTGCTAGGCTCATCTGTGTAAACCACAAACAAATGCCAGACTGTAAATCAGTTTGGTAGACAGCCACAACTATGCCACGATACATACCTTGGCACACTCTATAGCTTTCATAGGACACATAGACAGAGGTGTCAGTCTCCTACCCGTACCATACCCACAGTCAATCAGGGAATAATCAAAATAATATGTTTGTGTCTGCTGCTGCTGTAGGGCGTAAGACGATGTACAAGGTGTATGTGGCAGGTGTGAATGGGGCTGGGGAGGGAGAGTGGCAGGAGACACAGGACAGGGTCACCACTCAGGGACTCGGTAGGGATGCCAGAACACCAATCACACACACACACACACACACCAACACACTTGGAGGCTGTGGAGCTACTATCATGTATAATGGCTATGGAGCTATAATGACTGTGAGTGGTTGTCTGGTTATGTCTTGGCTGCAGAGTCCTCCGACGACAGTGGAGGGGGTGTGGGGTTGGCAGTGGGAGTCACTCTGGGAGCCATTATCTGTCTACTGATCCTCATTAGCCTCCTCCTCCTTCTACTGGTGGTGTGTGTCAGGTGGGTTGGTCCCTGAGGGCGCACTGCCCTAGCTATGCATTTTGTCTATTTGAGAACATTGTGGCGTGGTATGCATCTGAGAGCATACAGTGGTGAAGCACAGGGCACATGCAATAAGTAAAAGGACAAGGAACAATTGCTAATAATGTGCATAAGGTGTCTTACCTTGGCTTACCTGCTACATGTATGTGTATATAACGACGTGATCTATGGGCATAGTTAGTGTAGGAGTAGGACAGCAACAAACCTTTGGCACAACTGCGTGTGCAATCAAATCAGAGCCTTACTCTGTCCAAACATTGTGGTATCCTCCCACTTAGGAAACACATAGCTACTATACCTATGGCTTAGGGTGTTTGTCCATGAAACATGCCACGTGACTTCTTTATTTTTCTAGACAAAGGAGGCGGCGTAGGAAGGGACATGCACTGATAATCTCAGAGGACATAAGGTCTTCTGCTCTCCTCAACAACACTGTGAAGGAAGAGGAGGACAAGAGTTTCTCCAGGTCACCTGCTTCACCTCAGACCTCGCAGAGTAACGGAGAGACTGCCTCAGGAGCAGCCGAGGAAAGAGGAGATGGCGAGAATGGAGAGGAAAGGGAGAGTGGTCGGGCGGGAGGAGGAGTGGAGGTGGGAACGGAGGGTGTTGACGATGGTGAGAGGGGGGACGAGGGTGGTAGTGAGGGAGGTGAGGGTGGGAAGGAGGACGGTGGTGGTGGACCTGATGCTACAGCTACTGACTCGGATGATGACAGTGCCAGCAAGGAGAAGGCCTCTGCACCAGCCACTGACTCTAACATCGGTGAGCCCCAAACTAAGATCCTTATAACCAATTTCCCTCTCCTGTTTTATTTAGATGAACACATGGTATGAGCGTTTACCACTGACTATTATGCACGATGGACACTTTTTGTCACAAGCATTCACACTGCAGCAGTTTTTAAATCATCAAGTTTTCTATACAAAGTATGAGATTATTGAGATCTATGAGCCTTTAGTCTGTCGAATCATAGACTCCATCATGTCCCACTGCTCCTTTGTTACCTGGAGAGGACACACAGACAGTTGTAGACAGTGGGGTCCATGACTGTTGTGTACTGTGGGCAGCCTGTGTATTGGTTGCTGGAGGTACACAAGGAGTGTCTGTGTTACCCGTGTCAGTTGGCTGAACATGCCGGCCATGTAGGGAAGGTTCCCGCCGTCCAGTACCACCACTGCTCCCGAGACCCAGCTGGAGTAGTCACTGAGTAGGTAGGCAGCCAGGTTGGCATTCTCCTCCACCTCTCCCATCCTGCCTGCCGGGACTGAACGGAGCATGTTGTCTCTGAACTGCCCTGTGGGGTCAAGTCGACTGAAGGCACCCTGTGAGTGGGGGGGGTGGGAGGAACAGAGGGAGTGAAGAAGAAAGAAGGAGTGAGTGTTTTGGGAGGGAAGGAGGGGGAAGAGAAGGAAAAGAGAGTGGAGGGAGACAGTGGTTGAATGATGTTGGATGTGTATGGGGAACAATAGAGGTTTAATGCCTACCTTTGTCTCAATGGGACCAGGAGCAATGGCATTGAACCTCAATCCATACCGTCCCCACTCTGCCGCCAGTGACCTGCACACACACAAATCTC